AATTCAGCAAAAAAGCTACATTTCAGTTTAGTTTTGCCTGTGAGTCTACATTTGGGTTCTCAACTCTGGCTGCTTCACACAGTTACATGACAGTTGTATTTATAAGACATTTTGTTTTTGATAGCATAGAATAGTCATTCTCAAAGCCAAATAACACAACACAAAGCATGACCTCAAAATATATGCAGTGATTATACTTGATACAGTATCTGTTGCATGATTCTAAGAAGTGCGAAGGACACACCTTAAACCACTCATCACCTTAAACCCATCTGCAGCTTGTTTTTTCCTGTCTACTTTCCTGTTAGCAATCAGTTGTAGATAAGTAAATGGATGAACTCAAAAAGACATCACATGTAATTTTAAAAATATTAGTTGAAATTTGAAAAATGTTCTCTTCATTCTTTTATTTACTTTATTTAAAGGCCACTGTGCTGACATGAAGTGTTGCAGCAATCAAAAAACTGGAATCTCAGCACTTCAGATTTTTGACATATTTTCTGCAGTTCCATGTTCTGAGATTGCATGTTAAGTTTCACCGTACAAGGAGTGATTTTCATTGTAAACAGTTACTACAGTTTGAAGGAAGTGAAACATGTCAACATACAAACCACAGGCATGCCTGCAGCATCTTCCACAAAATCTCATTTTGATCTGTTATTTCTTTTGATTTTATCCTGCCCCATTTGCCTACAGTCACATACAGTCCTGTCAGTTATAACAGTTTTAGCTTTTAAACTATTAATTTTTTATCACATTTTTATTCAGTGAAAGAAACATATGAGTTAAATGACAAATTTAAAAAAAACTTTAAGAAATCAAAAGGTTTAATATACCTTTTATTATATTTCTAGCTAATGCTATACATAAAGAAAAATGACATTTAAATTTTGATTTTTTTTTTTTTTTAAATTTTACTTTAGTGTTGCATAATCAGGCTTCAGACAGGCTTTAGAAATGAACATTTTAATCATCTACATACATTTTTTTGGATCAATTTCCATTCTATTTTATTTATTTATTGCACCAAATCACAATTACAGTTGCTTCAATGTGCAATATATTGTACAGTAAAGACCATACAAAAACCCTTACAGACAAAACCCCAACAAGTCTTTTTCAGTATGTACAAGTATAAAATGAAAATATCACAGTCACCTCCTGATTTCTTTTTTTGTAGTTTGATATTTTTTTTCCCCAATTTTTAGGAATCTTTAGTTCAGTGTCCAGTATTGATTATTGAAGAGGTGAGCTCAGTCATCTTGTTGCTTAAAGTACACGAGCACGTGAACCTGTAAAAATATAGAAAAGATACAGCAGAACAAACACATTTTAACTTCCCCATCCAATTATGTTATTCAGTGAATGATGCAGTTGCTTATTGAGCATTGTTGATCATGAGACAGCATGTTACCTTGCTTACGATGGTTCATTTCTCTACACGCAAAACAGCATGACACTGCTATCAGGAGAAATGCCAGTACACAACAGGCTATGACCAGGTAAAGACACTTGTCTGCTGAGGGAAGATCACAGTGATAACAATTAAGTGTTCAACGTAAATGTCACTGTATTTGCAACATAGAAGATCCCAACATGAAACAAGTCAGTTTGTTATGAGGCTGAGGTATCAGATTACAGATATAAAAACATAATGAATCCTAGACATTTTTCTTAGCTACCATTATGCAGTTTGGATCATGGCTGAATGATTCATTAATTGTACTTGATACATGTATCAAGAAGCCGAGGTTATGTTTCTTCCAAGATCTTTACTTCTTGACAGTTCCAGATTCACATTTGTTCTTATCTTTTATTCCTTTTCATTTGTTCTGTGAAACACTTAGTTAAGAAAAGTGTTATGTAGATAAAGTTTATTGCTCTGACTGTGATTATTTGCTAACTCCCACTAAACCACACCAGAGGTATAGTGTTAGACACTGAAGAAAAACCACACTGACAATTTCTGTTAAACCACCTGTTTCCTGTCATAGAACCACACCTACTACAACACATCCATTTCACAGCTTAATGTGCACATATAGTGCAGCTAATAATAATCAGTGACCAAGTGGAAAGTTTTAGTGTGCCTTTTAAGTTTAGGTGGTAGTTACTGAGAAATAAAAAGATAACTAAATTGTGGTATGAACAGCTGCCCTCGTGTGGCTAAAATAACTGACAATACCAACAGATACAAAGATGTTGTATCAACAAATATTCTGTTCATTCTTCTCAAGAAATCGAAAACTATAAACATGATACATTTTCATGTCTCTGCATTTTCTCTGTTTCATCTTCTATCATTAGTTGCACAAGTGATGTGTACTGTGTTTAATAGTTCTACTCCCACATGCTTACATTTCTGATTAACTGCATAATAATATTAAAAATATAAAATCATGAGTAAGTTACCTTCGAAGTTCCAGAGTGCCTTGCCTTCAAAGTTTCCATTGTCTTTAACATCCAGGGTGAAATTAATGTTTTTCTCTTGGACTCCATCTGAATTAAAGACCTCAATGCTGTATTGACCTGAGTCACTCCTCCTCGCGTTTGTGATCTTGATTGTACCGTTGTTGATTATAAATGTTAGTCTGTTGTTAAATTCCTTGTCTATTGTTGTTTTTCCTTTCTTGATATTGAACACAGTTTTTGTCTCAGTGGGAAGCACCTTCAAACACTGCAGTTGACAGCCATTAGCATCAGTCATCACTTGGATATATACAGTTTCTTCAAGAAGAGGAGAGCATGGACATGCGCTCGTCCTGAGGTCACAAGTAGTCTCATCAACTGGAACCAGAGCTGGAAAAGATGCATTCAAAAGAACATGAGTGGAAATAATTCACACTACAAATGTAAATGTTTGGCATCTTGTGAGGATGATCTTACCATGAGTTCCCGCTGCCATTAGCACAAGAATAAGAAACTGCTCCATGCTTTTTATTCACCCACGCTGTGGTTTTAATGTTTTAAAATGAATCTAGAAAATTTTGGACACATCCGGGTGTAAATCTGCTGTGAACCTCAGCCCTAACTGACAGGAAACAGTAAACGGGAGACGATATAGGCAGGGTATTTTCACAGGGGCAGGAAATAAAGTGATTCACTTTCCTTGCCAACACAAAGAGAACTGAGACAGGCTGCTGTACTGAACTGATCTTAAGAAATATTTACCACATATGAACAAATATGTTCTCCTCTCTGTTGTAATTGCATGTGAAAACTTGAATCTAAACAACACTGGGAACTGCAGTCACACTTTCAGAACAGTCAGCCACACATGGTACGCTGGTTACCACAGATAGTGTGAGAAAGAGCAAACCAAAACTAAAGTGACAAATTAAGTCACCAATAGTCCAGAAGCTTCTGTGAGGAGAACTTTATTGTTTAATAGTCTTTACAGGGTGTGCAGGAGAGATGTCTTTTTCTGTTTGTAGGTTTGCATAAGTTTGCTTTCCAAAAAGGAAGAGAAATGAAAGATATAGAGCAAATAAAATGCAGACAACCTGGTTAAAAGCACCACGCGAAAAGGATGCAAATCTTTGCCACAATATGAAACTGTAAGGCAATGTTCTCCAGAAAATATTAAAACACAGAATCCTCTTATCCAACAAAGGAGGCTGAATTCAATATGAAAAATCATGCTACATGACTCACAAGTATTTGGGTAAAGAAAACAAATTCAAATGATGCAGATTTTTATGTGAATAATTTTGTAATAGCACAATAAACTTTAAAAAGTAAATATCAAATAGTCACTATGAACATAGTAACATTAAACATTGCAGCTCTGCACAGGTGGAAGCAAGCTTTACAATTCTTCACTTACTCTTAATTAAGGTTAGTAAGCAAGAGGAGTGATGGAGAACAGAATAAGAAGAATAAAAATCATCATTAGAAAAGAAGAATGTACATTGCTTACTCACATTTTAATGGACGCACACAACAGGACAGGCTAAGGCAGTAACACACATATAATCACTCAACTGGAACTGAGAAAAACCATCTGTGTGAAAAAAAAAAAGAACCTACATCGGTAGTTCCTGTATTACAGCAGAGATGGAAGCTACCATTCTTATAGGGGTGCAGTAAACCTGTGCGAATAGTACGGGGCTTTTAAACACACTGAAGCTACTTTGACTTTTGTTTTGCATGCTTCCTCCTACCCTGCTCTAAAAATAGAAGAAACAGCTATGTCTGTACATGCATGTCCACCAGCATATATGTGCCCGGCTGGGCATCTCATCAGTTTTTATTCTGGCACAATGAGGCAAACAAGCCTGTTTTTTAAAACATATTGCTATGTTGCTTTGTACTGATTTTTGCTAAAGTCCTTGCAATCGTTCAAGCTCATCGTGAATAGCTGTGACAAATGAAGAAGGAAGCCCTCTCCTAATATTCAGTGGAACAGGTAGCTGCTATAAAAAAGTACAGAACAGCACAAAAATAATCTGATGTGTACAGAAACAAAGAATATTCTTCAGGTAGAAAATATGTAAATACAATAATCCAGAGGCTAATTTAATGAAGGAAATAATGTCTACAATTAATGTCACATTGCCACAGAGGTAGTCATCATTTACATTAATCAAAGCCAGAAAGCTTCTGATGATTCCACCTTGTCATTCTTGTCAAGTACACAGATTTTGAGTTTTTAAAACAACCCTTACCTGTGCAACAGTAAACACACTAGCTTGCACAGTTGCACCTGTAAAATGGAATTCGCTCATGTGTTTTTGAAGCTTATAATGTTCACTTTTGCAAAACAAACACTTATAATTGAGATACAAACAAATTAATAATGAAAACATCACCAACCGGTTATTCTTACAGAAATCGAACATGCACCTGCAGCTACAGCTCGATCTTGCAGAAACCTGGCCCATGAGTGAGAACACATCTTCAGATGTTCTCTCAACTAAAGTAGCACCTCTTCATTAAACCAGTGATTTTCTTTTGGTTGTGTTCTCCTATACTATGTTAGACATGATCCGAGTTTTTAGTTTCCCGAAAAATGACCTGCTTTTGGATAGCTTTAGCTTCTTCTTCCAATCCATGCTTTTTTTCTGGAAAAAACTGCCCCAGTTGTCCTCCTCCTCATCACCTACCCAAGGGACCCAGGCACCTCCATTCAGATAGGGGTCAGCCCGCGGATCCTCTGATGGGTACCTCACAGGCACCGCAGTGCGATTGTAGTACACCAGTCTGGCAAGCAGCTGCTTCACAACATCCGGTCTCTGCTCAGAAAGGTCATAACGTTCATAGGGGTCCCCGGAGATGTTAAAAAGCCACACTGTTTTTCGAGGACGTGTGTGACGCTCCTGCTTCCACCAGCTACTGGGGAAACCTGGAAGTATTTGTGGTGGAATCCAGTCTCCATAACCAGGGTCTCCTGTCAGAAGTTTCCAATCTCCAGCTCGTATGGAGGCCTGAACGGCTGTATTCCAAATGCCATATCCTTTCTGCAGGGAGCCAGTGCGTGCATGGTTATACAGAGGGTCGATGTTGTGCAGGATTTCCAGCCTAGGTGATTCTTTTCCTTCACTGATGGCCTCCCACACATTATACCCATCAACCCCCTCAGTGAGGGACTCATCACCACCTGCTAATCCCACTAATGTGGGATACCAATCAGTAATGTGCACCAGTGATTTGCTCACCCTCCTCTTTTTCCTTAACAGAGGGCTGTGGACGAATCCCAGACCCCGGATGCCACCTTCCCAGTAGGTTCCTTTACGTCCTCTAAGAGGCCAGTTACTTCCACCAGACAAGGGCTGACCTCCATTGTCTGTAGAGAAAATGATGACACTGTTCTGATAGTATCCATACTTGCGGAGAGCGTATGTTATATTACGAACCGCTTCATCTACAGCTGACACCATAGCAGCATACTTCCTGCGTGCCACATTTTCCAGCCCAAGGTAGGGGTAGATGTACTCATCTGGATATTGTAAGGGTGTGTGAACAGCTTGGAAGGAGAGGAAGATGAACAGCGGTTGGGATTGAGGATCATGGGTTGCCAGGATCTTGCGTACTCTCCTTGTGTACAGATGCGTGGAGTATTTTCCACTCTGACCCCAGGCAACTGACTCCCCCTCATGGAGATCAAAGCCACACAGCCCAGAGCCATCACAGCCATCATAGGTGTAGTAGTTAACACTCCCCGTTAAGGATCCAAAGTATGTGTCAAAGCCACGGCGAGTGGGTAAGCACTCCTTCTTATAGAACCCCAAGTGCCACTTCCCTACCATGTGGGTGGAGTAGCCGAGTTCCTGTAGCCTCTGAGGGAGCGTGACCTGGTCAAAAGGCAGGCAGTTAGGCTGGCGAGGTCGGATGATGGAGTGCTGAAGACCAGTGTGGATTTGGTACCTGCAGAATTTAAGATTAAGAAAATATTTAGAAGGAAAAATATATTGTTTGCATTTAGGGATAAGATTCGTTTTTGAGGTTGCATATCTTTTGGGCGCAATAATAAAGGAGGGAAATCTGATATCAAGACAGCCTTAATCCATATCATCCAATCACATCCAACAGGTTAAACAGAAATGTGAATAAGAGGGGTTGTAAAGAGGTTTAGAAAAATAGAACAGGGAGAAGGAGACTGCCCTGTTTTTCTCAAACAGGTTATGGTGATTGGCATGAAGATACACTCCAGATTTGTGTCTGTTTATATTTGTATGCCAGTCAAAACACAGACAGAAGGCTGTGTAATAGCAAGCACATCCTTTACATACTTTTTCTTTAATTGGAAATATATAGTCGGAAATCACATGTTTGGACCTGATTGATAGCTTTGAAACATAAAAGCTGTACACTTTCTAGATTTGCCATTATCTCTAGAAGAGTGGTCTTGGTTCCACTGTCCCCATGCATTCAAATACTTTAGCTCACAAAACAGGAAGCTGCTTTAAAATCCAGTAGTTTAATTCATCAGGCAGCAGTTACATCTATGTTAAACATCAGTATGGTCTAATTCTAGGAATACAAAGCATTCGTTTTAAATAAGGAGTAGTCCAGTCACAGGATACTTTACCTGCCAGTGATGAATTGACTTCTGGATGGGGTGCAGATGGGCTGGATGTAATAATTCTCCAGCTTCACGCCATCCGCAGCCAGTTTATCCAGCACCGGTGTCCTGATGTCTGAGCTATGATAGCCAATGTCATTGAACCCCTGGTCATCTGTCATAATGAAAATAATATGAGGGGGTTGAGGGACAGGAAATCTGCCAATAAAAGGTTTTTCTGGATCGTTTTCCACCTGGTTAGGGCTCATCAGATCCCAGGTCAGGTACCCGAGGCTCAGCAGGCTCATCATGGAGAAACCGGTGAGAGCTGTCGTTGCCATGGTTCCTGTGACGCTTTAAATTACTTAAGCTTGCTTGTATTTAGTAAGCTGGCGCTAAATAACAATGCAGTGAGACTCAGGGTTAAAAAAAATCCCCTCATAAGGTGTTGCAAGTAACCCCTTGTACACTTGAATGACAGTTAAGCAACCTAAAACTAAGAAAAGCTACACCTCCAGCCTCGCTGAATCTCCAAACACTTTCTGCCACCTTTGAAAGCATTCCACTTTTCCAAGTGTTCCTGTTAACCCCGCCCAGTTGCCTTGCTGCCTCACTGAAATAATATCAGCCCCTACTGACCCCACTGCCAAAGAAAATACAGTATTTCTACTACATCCAGGTGTTAATGGAGAGTTTACATCTCACATTAGTGATACTTCTGCTGAATTTGGACATTGTGCTGCATTATTCTAGATATTAATGTAGCTTTGTTGGTCTTTGACTGTAAAAAAAAAATAGCTTTAAAAACATACTTAGTACTCAAAATAATTGCATCATAGACTCTCCTCTTCATTTGTGCTCCGTCATGATCATCATTTCAATATGCCACCCTATAAACTTCAGAAAACCTTAGAAAGCAAGAGCAATATCTCCCCATCTGACCTGGTTAAAACACAGTTGACAGAGGGTCTACAGAAAAAAAAACACCGCGTGTGGGGGAGATTTGAGTCTCAGGGTGGCTGTGGGGCCCTACAGACACAGTTCTCCACTCTACTCTGTACTGCACTCACAAACACTCTTATTTTTCCTGCTGTTTCTGTGCACTGCAGACCCTACGAGAGAGACAGAACAGACTTCTCTGACTCTGATAACATCTCCAGCCGGGCGTCATAGAAGCACTTTACAAATCATCCAGTGGGTCAACAGAAAGCAGCAGGACTGCACAGCCTCACCCACAGCTCCTGGAGGTATTTCTCCACAGTATCTGCACTGTAGACCGCCATCATGATACAGGTTCACTTTGACTGGGAACAGTGGAATAGCTGTAGAGAACAGCTAAAAATCTGACTATAAAAAGTAGAAAATAATTAATCTAACATACATTGGGTATTTGCCTGTCACTGTGAATCACAAGTGTTTTTGAGCTGCTCTTGAAGCTAGGATCAGGCTTGATTTCATAGCAGAGCTAAAAGCACAAAGTGATTGATGCTGTTCCCTTCAGGGCCGTCTCCTTGCGAAACACTGCACAGTTTCCACTGAACATTGCACTCCTTCTTGAGGTCCTTCATTGGCAAAAATGGCAACAATGCAATTCTGGGAAACAGGGCGATTTTACAGGGAATCAAATTTGAAAAATAAGGCTGGTGGTTAATATTTATTTTGCTTTAAAACTTGAATATAATGAATACTTCATGGTCACCAACGTCAAATGTGGCTAGCAGACAAAAATAAACTGATATACTGAAGCGAGGAGTTGGTCAACATAGTGAGATGTAAAACATCACACCTTGCAAGTGTTGATATTGAGGTTTGTGGGCATGGAGGTCGTGGGGTGCAAAAGGAAGAATGACCCCGCCCCCCAAAAGAGTATAAAGCTGAGGTTGATGGGCATGTTTGTCTTGAAGCAGGAAAGGCATCTTTAGAGCGGAGCTTTAGACTTTATGACAGAACAAACAGAGAAAGAGGGAGGAAAAGGGACCTGAAGTTTTACACGATCATGTTTATTCATGTGCTGTTCTAGAGGGAATACTTTACATATCATGATTGTGATATTACTGCTTTTCCTCAAAAGTATGCAAAAAATTAGAGGAAAGAGAGTTTCCTGGTCTTTGGGCAGCCACACTTATGAGATGAGACTCATCTGTTTTCTGCCGCTCAGAGCTGTAACTGCGGCAGCTCGCCAGGCTGACAACAACTCTGCTCACATCCAAGACCACAATGCAAACAACACGTATACGAACACTCACGTCTATCACATCCACAAATATTAACAGAGCCACGTCCCCAGAGACCCGACAGACTCTGAAGTCTAAAAAGACTGTGATAGGCCAATACCACAGATATATTCTTGCTCGCCTCCCACATTTGCTCTTTCTTTTGTGGATTGTCATATTGCCAAAATAATTTCACCACGAACGCAAGGCTAAGCCACAAAATGGTTTGATGACAGTATTTACAGAATGAGTAACCTTACAATGGACCAGTAATAGAATATCACGGACCCTGAATAAACATCGTGCTTGGTTTCTGGAGGTTATTTTTAAAGTTATTTGTTTGTTTTAACTTACGTTAGGCTCGTGTTTTTAAAAAATGTAAATAAAAATGGAATTTCTTAATATCCTCGTAAACCGCAGCTGTCTATTTCCAGTAAGCGGTCATTTCAGGCATGTTAAAAAAGGTCACTCTGCTTTAAGAAACCACTCATTCTGAGTTGTTGCTGTGGGAGTTAAATTTCACATTCTCAGACACTTATTTCACTATTTTAGTTATTGATTAACCAATTAAACTTGTTATGTGGTAACAACCTTTAAATCTGCTACATGGGAATTTCTCAGACTGAGATTTAATTGTGTTCACTGGCTGTTGATTACCCTCCTAATTTGCCAATTTCTTCCAGAGGATGTGAGCAAAGTGCTGTGAAGTATCATAAATTTAACAACACTTCATTTTCCTACCCCGTAATTAACAGTGGAGCCATAAAACAGAATCCAGTTTCTTTAAGGATTTCTTAGCTTGAGCTGGAGAAAACCATTCATAAAGTTATAAATAGCAATGGTAGCTTTTGCTGGTACAGGTAGTTTTCAGCTCCTGTCTTGCTTCTGTGGTTTTTGCCTCTCTGTCACGTAAAGAGTAAATCAATAGCAGACCCACCCTAAAAGATTTGGATTTAGTAACACAAAATTATACTTTCACAGCATTTTCTCATCTTTACATCCCTGTCCAAACCGGTTCCAAGCAGGATTTTAAGGCCTTGAGAAATCCGACAATGAGTTTGAAGGGAAGTAGAGACGGCTGTGCCGGTCGGCAGCAGATGTTGGCTTTGGCTAAAGAAAGTGGTGCTGTTACTGAATACGGCTGCTCCGCTTCACTAGGAACACTACCCCCTTTCTAATCAACACAGCCCTGCCGGTAAACCCCCACATTACCCCCACCTCTCACCCCAATTTTCTAATCTGAGTAAGACTGGATGGAAGTGTTCTTTTTCCTCCTGTGTGCCAACTCTGAGGCAAAACTTGTACTTCAGCATGCTCAGCTTGTCATCTCTCCACTTTATACAATAGAAGCCTTGTTTCAGAATTTACTAAAAATGGCTTTTTCATCTTTTATCAATCTTTCAGCTACAGGTCATTTATTTGGGAGCAAAGTAAAGGCCAAAGACGCTTCCTCTCTCAGGTGAGTTTCATAAACAGTCCTCGACAACAACCAGGACCTACATACAGTTATATTAGCTATTCAAATGCAGAGAGAAGTAACTGAATAAGAGCACTGTAGATAAGAAAGTAGGGAGGTTAGTATGGCTAATTTGCGTAGGTTTTGACTCAGTTTACAAGTTACACAGAAGAAAAGAACTGTATTTACCAAAAACAGGAACAGCGTTTAGATTCTGCTAACAGCATTATTATTGCCTCAGTTTCTCTTTGTGAACTTGTGTGGTTGCCTTTTACAGTGTAGTAGTTACCATGTCACAAGATCTGTCCCAGAATCAAGTGTTTAAGACTGATAACTTTAATTTCTAACTCAAATAAAGAGTAAACATTTCTTAGATTTCCTCTGTCTGGTGGGGTTTTAAAGTCCACATATCAGCCCTTAGCAGGTGGAAATCAGAGGAAGGGCTCAAACACATGGCCTTGGCTGTCGCTGAAGGTGTGTTTGATTTGGCTCATGTGGAGCTCCGGCAGCACCTGGTTGGCAAGGCTAGGCATAGCAGTTCATTAGGACCCTCCTGCAAAGCCCCTTGGATATACATCATAAGGGACTCGTTGAAGAATCCCTAAGGAGAGGGTGTTAAAAAAAGTATAGCTCAGTTATGCTATTTTTTATTCTTTTATATATTTATTAATCACATGTGTGTAAGTGTTTCCACTTAACCAGTTTTACTGTTGTGCCAGTGTAGCAGCGATGACAGGTTGTGGCACCCAGACCTTGCCGTCTATAGCGGGTAATTAAATGGAGAGTGAGCACAGATGTGAGCTGTTAAATGTGTCCAGCGTAATTTATTTGCTGTGAAACAGGCTGCCATTTACAAGTGTAGCCTGTACAAATACTGCAGTCATTTTACAGAAACGTGCCATCATAGCCGAGGGGAGCGTACTACTTCTTTTTCCTTGTGTTCAAGGATGTCTTTTGGTCCTCCCTCAAGCAGTAACTTTAGCTAAAATCCATTTTCTTACACTCGTCAATACCCAGTTTAATATATTGGAATGTTTGTTTGGAGTAAACATGAGCAAATTAAATATTACATTTTCTTTGCTCACTTTTAAATATTACAAATTAAAATTGTTTTTCTTCCACAAAACTTTGGTGGTCTGTCCCATCAACACTCTAAGAATGGGAGCTGAGTCAGCCTCATAACCTGCACGTTGTCCAAACCAAATGTGTGTGTGTGTGTGTGTGTGTGTGTGTGTGTGTGTGTGTGTGTGTGTGTGTGTGTGTGTGTGTGAGCGTGAGAGTGAGAGAGAAGAGTATGAGGGGTAGCAAGCTTGTGGAAGATGGTGAAATCAAGCTCAGTGAGACCCACTGAGTGCTGACGTTGAGCTTGGACTACACACTGCTTTCCTTTTCTGGTTTTCCCTGATGAATGAGTCTCTTTCAGCTGCCTTGCTCTTACTGACCCCCTGCTTACCCAATACTCTCCTTTAGTTTGACCTAAGATCTCACCGCCAGCTTTCTCAGATCTTTTCACTGGCAGCATGTACCCATGCCCAATCACCATTAATGTCCTCCCACACCAAAGCAAAAAGTTAGACTTATATCCAAATACACCTGATAGAGTTGACTGACCTTTCTGGCAGTTTCTGGGATATTTCTGACTTGTTCACTTGCTTGAATAGCTTGTGGATTGTCTGGCTATGTGGATGGGTAATGGGTTTGTTTTTTTCGAACATGTGATTAAAAAAGAGAACTGAGTCAAGAAACCTAGAGCCACAAGAGCGAGCTAACAGAGACATAAAGGGTAGGTGTATTTTAAGACTTACAGTTATGTTTCCTGAATATGAGCAGGCAGTTTATGTTGGCTGTCACAGTTCATTTCTTGCCTTTTAACATATATGCCGAGGTGGATTTTGGTCTCTACAAATGTCCCGCTTTTACATATTTGTAAGGTTTGAGAACATCTCAACAGAGGGACAGGGTCTGTTACAATAGAGACACACATATACAGTCACTTCATGGGTACATCTGTTCAACTGCTTATAAACACAAATCTAAATATAAGCCAATCACATGTGATCAACTCAAGATGAAGATGAA